AACATTTTTCAACCTTCAGACGCTAAGGCTCGTCCTTGGAGTTTCACTGCTTTGTGTGCAACCATGCTCATTCTTGCATATGGAATAGACGAGTTTCTTTTCATTCTGTTCTTTCACGTAAATGAGAAGAAGTACAGAGTATCCCCACATTTCGCACTCACCTTTCGCACTTCAATTTTTTGGGTGATTCTCGTTCTTCATAATTTGTGAATAATACTCATTTACGGAAGGAAGAACTAGATGAATTATAATTCCTCTATTATTTCCGCCCGATATGGTTGTATTCGTTGAATGATTGCGAGAGAGAAAAACAAAAATGACTGCCTAATAGGCTAGAGTTACAAAATATCCGAGATTTTTCCCAATTTCTCTGAAAGTTTCCTGTCTTCCATAAAAATGTCACTTCATGACTTGCTTCGAATGCTAACTATTGTTTCTGGCCGCTGATCGCCATAAAAAAAGCTATCACAGGAGTGCTGAATACAAGAAAACGCCACACCCAAAACGGGACTAAGATGACAGTTCGAATCCCGTACTGCCCGTGATTCAGCATTCTTGTGGTAAATGTGGCTTCATCAGATACAATGCCCTTCAAAAACCACAATATACCACCTCCCTCTTCCCTCCGATCCCTCCGTTTGCTCCTAGCACGACGGATAGCTCATCTCACATAGGCCGATGACAGGCTTTGTGAATGGCGCGATTCGCTAGCGTCTGCGGTCGCGTCGCGGTCAGAGAATCACTCAAATGGCTGGTGCCGCATTGCGACCGCGGACGCTAGCGAATCGCTAGTAGCGAATCGCGCGATTCGCAAAGTCTGACATCGGCTTTACAGGGCACACTGTAGACTCCAATACATTGCATTAAGAAGCCGAGTGCACGGTTTCACAATCCATTTGTTCTTTTGGCTTTAGTTGAATAGAAGAATAGAATTTATTCTTGAATAGAAGTGTACAACGTCGCAGATCAGTAGGCAATGCTGGTAGGCAGTGTGATCGTTATTTCATTGATTGTCGTCTTGTTTATCTCCCCGTCCTTAGTTTTTGCCTATTTTGTATTTCCGCTGACATTGCTCGACATCTCGTTGGTTTATGGCTTGGATCCTTGAATCTCCTCCCATTTTCTCTAGGGAATAATCAATCACATTGTTGAGAAAAACCTCGCCTGAAATAGAGGCGCGCGAAGGAGCATTTCCGGACCGACGTAATTGTCTTGTATCAGGCCGTGAGCTCTTTTTTCCACACTATTGCAATGTGTTCACTTAAGGAAGCGGCTGAGCGAAGTGTGCCAAATTTTCTGAATTTATGATTGCTAGACAATTTTCTCTAGCACGTTAACATTCGCGTGCTTCGCCGAACATGCACGGTAGCACGCGATTTCGGAAGCCCTGGTCCTGATCAACAGTTTAAAGGCAGAATTTACCATGAAAAAGCAACCCATTCCAAGTTGAGCTAGGTATGGTGAGTGGTACCAGAAAGAAGAAAAAACCATGAGAAACGGCCCAGAACACAAGAAATTGGACCCTTCCCTTTCCACTTGATCTCGGCATTGATGCGAGTCCTATCGCTGTGCCCTCTTCAATATAACGCTCTCTTTGCTATCTAATCACTTGCCGCGTATAGACCTGTGGCAGATGACTAGATAGATGGTGGGCGGAGACAGTCGGACCCGCCAAGATTGCGCCATGCTAGTCCTCCGAGGTCAAATTTTCCGCTGCCGATTGCGTGTCTGTCCACACCCTCAAGAGGTCCGCCGGTCTCCCCACTAGGCGATTTCTCCCTTCTTCGATCTTTGTTCTTTCCGTGGAGTCCTCCTTCAAAGCGTATCGAGTTCAGATTATCAAGCCTACAAAACCAGAACTTTGATTTTAATAATTATATGTATGAAGTGAATATGCAGCGAGTATCTAGTCTGTGACGCGCGCCTAGTTGCGCGCGTCAGCGTTTCAAGTGTGTATCCCAAAAAAATCTGGGTTACGAAAAATGTCGAGAGCTGTTTTTGCCATGGTATTCAGAGTAGAGAGCCAAGTTCAGTGACGGAATATCTCAATTCCGTACCACATTCTTTTCATGTTTTATTGCTAAATGCTTCTTTTCATAATATGTATTCGCTGGTAGCTTCTCTTCTTTTGTTAGGCAAAGCATGGATGCCTCCTTCGAGGAATCCTTTCAGGTACGACTCGTAGAAGTGAGACACTCAAATTTTGACGCAGTCGCGACTATTGAATTTCTTTGGTGCTAAGCTATGCTGCACTAACCTTAGTCATTGATAGTTGGACGCCGCCAGGTCTGCGCTATATGGCGCGGAAGGCAAAGCGTTTAAGCCCATCTCCTCGATTTCTTGTTGCGTGATTTCCGCGACAAGTGTATCGCCTTGACGTGCAATAGTTTCACATTTACCCTCGACCCAGCGCTTGGTCCACTCGGGCGAGCTGTTGGGCGTATAATTTAGCTGTAACTGTTTTACCCACAAGCAGCAAGTGCGCCTGTCCTGTACTGTTTCTTCATATAAAACGTGAATTTTCCGTGGATGTCCGGTTTCGTAGTCACCCTTAGCTGTCCTCGGCAGGCAACAATGGCCGTCTTCTCACTTTTTTTCGGGAATTTCCTTTTGCTAAATGCGTTTACAATGCAGTCAAGAGCTTCTTTCTGTTCGAGTTATGGAACAGAGTTCCAGCATTGGCATCCAGTATTTCTTGCTCACTTCGCTCACGGTATGCCGAACCCATTTTCTCCACCCAAGGGCCTTACCAATCACATGTAGAGGCTTTCAAATCTCACTGCCGACGCAGTCGAACTTCCATGCATGTTTTTGTGTGATTTGTCGAGGGCTCAATTAGTTGGCTTTCAACAGTTCCCCTACAGCTGTTCTTGTCTTTCAATGATTCGTGTGCTTGGCGCCGCTTCTGACGAAGGTTTCAGTTTTTTGAGTGAGTCCTTGAAAAGTGGATTCAACCGGATAGACCTCATTAAATGAGAAAAAAGACCGCTGTGCTGTCGATTGACGTGCCAGTTATGGAAAAACTTTGATGTCTATTGTTGAGTAGCGCACTAAGTGTTCCTTACAGCACTTAAGACGTGCAGAACATTGCTCCCTAAAAACACCGAAGAGTTGTCAGGGTGATTGAATAGACTTCTATAGGAGCATGCAATCTTTTCTAAATACTAGCGTATAGCAGCCATCTTTCAATTTCCGTTTTTTTGCTAATGCAACAATAATGTGGCAAAATGATGAAACTCATGGCTTCATCATCCCTTCTGGGGTGCGCCACGCCTCTGCTTGTTTGTGTCCTAGGAGTATTTGAGAACGCTGTGCCTTATGCAATAGCCAGCCGGGTCCACCCAATGTGGGCTTTGAGTTTTCATCTTCCTAGACAAATCTAGTAGTACCAACTCCTCGTCGCCTGAGGAGTTAGAAGACTTGAATGACCTGAGCAAGATTCGATTCGAGACTTGACATCTCCACAGTATGCTTGGGAAGTGGCGCCGCTTGCCGCTACTCCAGCTCCGCCCTCAATAATGTAATATGAATCATTGTACGCCACACGATTCTTTCAAAGTCAGCTCCAGTTCTCCTTGAAATCTTGAAAGCAGCGTTGAACAGCTGGTTCCCTGGAAGATCAATTTTGGGTTCAATTTTGTTCATGGAATGCAGTTCATATGGGTCATACAAGCTGACAGGGAAAGGCCCTCAGGTCGTCATGATCATTCAAGAAGCGATGCATAGGGCTAGATGTACCTTCGAACGCTGATCTCAGATATACCAACCAAATCTGCTAAACAATTATTTGAATGGAGTCATAAAGCAAAACATCGCAACGGTAGTGGTCGGTACTCACAGTGCAAATGTCGTAGGATCGGTCCCTCATCGTAATAACTCTCCTGCATTCTTTGGGAATTCAGTTAAATAGGCGAGCAAAAGCAGTTCACGAAGAATTGAAGTAGTAAACACAGTAGGGGACTGATCCTTCGACGTTTTGACTGTGAGCCTCGACCACTACCGCTGCGCTGTTTTGCTTCATGACTCCTTTCAGAGAATCGTTTAGCAGATTTGGAAGGTAGATTTGAGATCAGCGTTTGAAGGTACATCTAGGCGTATGCATCGCTCCTTGAATGGCCATGGCGACCTGAGGGGCTTTCCTGAGAAAAGTCAGCCAAATAAATAATCCTTGTTATCAAACTCGGTTGTAAGTTGAATTTTTATTAGTGGAATTTGTGCTGAACTAGCACATGCATAGAATTCCTACTAATGTCCTTCTGCTTTATAAGTCAGCAATCAATGGCGTACCATCCATATTTCATTTTTTTATCACTATGACGGCCTGCCCTGCTAATAATCAAATGAATCAATAGAAAATAAATAAGTGAAAATGAATAAATAAATAAGTGAATGCGTGACTAAGCAGCTAGTGTTAACGATTCCGAATAGTAAGTGCATTGTGCTTCCCACAGCGATTTTTAAATGTGGATTTCCGAACAATTTTGAGCAATTTTGAGCACCTTCTTTTGACTGCTCATTCGATTCAACTATCTATGATTCCAAACAACGTTGCAGTGGCATCGACTAGCATTGAGCAATACAGAAATCCTTGTTTATGCAGTCGATAAACTTGTCCGGTTGTGAATGTCGATACATCAGGCGCAATGTCATTTCCAACTATTATAGGCGGCAATTTGCTTTTTTTGGAGCGCTAAACCGGATAAGCGCTTTATATAACGCTTGAACTATATGTTATGAGAAATGATGTTATTTTGCATATACATGCCCTTTGTGTTGTAGAAGAATTCGCCTCACGTATAGAGAACGCGCTTAATAAGTAACAACCCGGACTTCGAGTGCGGAATGTTCGCGTTCCTTCCCAAATTCATTGACTAATTAGCTTTTTCAGGATGGTTTCCAATAGTGCGTGCCATTCATTATTGTGGTAGTGCATGCGTTCCATGGATAACATTGCATGTTGGCGAGAGTATTTGTACTTTCTGCACGGGCGCCCAACATGTGCCTCTATAGCTCAGTGGCAGAGCGTCTGTCTCGTAAACAGAAGGTCTGCGGTTCAATCCCGCATGGAGGCAACGTTTTGCATTTTGTCTAAAATACTGTTCACACTTGGTTTTTCGAGTCCTTCGCCTTTGATTACGTCTATTGTGACTAGAAGTCATACAATGTGTTAGTAACCATGGAATAACTTTGCTTCTTGATGTATTCAATTGAAAATCTTCCTTTTGAAGCTATTCTCTATATTTTCTTCTCCCAAATTTGATTAGATCGCCTAAGTAGGAATCAGTAGAAAACCACTACCCCGGTTTCTTCGATTCGCGCTGGGTATATGTTCAGGCTTGAGGATATCGATTGCACTTGACACATGATTTGTCTCGACGTTCACCGATTCTCTTCACTTCGATCCCCACTGAGAAACTCGTTCCTCGTCTCACATAAGAACTCCTCTTGACGCGTTATTCTCCCAAACAATCGCACTTGCGACGAAAAAAGCGTCGTGTCCAATCAGCAACACAACTGTTCAATGCTTGTCATAATAAACATGTGTATTTTGTCATGTTCATAAATAGAAACTAATTTGACCAGAATTGCTCCTCAGACCATTTATGTGGCCAAAACGGAAGTGCGCTTTTGTTTGCTTTGATCTCTATGATTTATTGACTCTGTCAATATTGTCTTACGAGCCCTCATCTACTCAAGATGATTCATTTCATTATCATTGCGTCTTCCTGACGCCACTGCTACAATTACTAGAGGCCACAAGAGCTGCTGCACTTACCGGTTATTAGGCTCAGATAGGCTCAGACTTACCTGCTCAGTTACGAAGGGTCTATTCCAGTAAGGGGGGGGGGGGTCACTTTTTCACTTACCTGGGCCGTACCAACAATTGGACTTGATCATTAGATAGCAAGTACTGCCTTGTTTCCTGTTCTTATCTGTTTTCACTACTCGCCAGTGTACCTTCACTATTTGAACTGAGGGAGTGTTTTGATTAAAGGTTTCAAAATATGTGCTATTTTTTGTTTTTTTTTTTGTTCGTGGTTTTCGATTATGATGCTATGTGAATTGAAGCACGGGTCTATTTCAGATAGGGGGGTCCTACGTTACTGCTTTGTTTGTTTGTATTATGTATGTATGAGTTCCTGCGCTGTATGTCATAAAGGTCTCTTGGAAGTAGTGCTCACCTAGTGAACAGCTGGGACTAAGCCTAGGAAGGGGGAGGAAGTCCCCAGGAGAGCATGGGTTTCCCATCCACCCGGGGATCTCCCCCTCTTCTAGGGCTACGTACTTAACGTTCCGAATAGAAGGATATGCTTTTCACGGTGTTAAGCGCTCTAAAACGCAATGCTCGCCCAACTGGAATATAATCTGAAGCTGCCATGTACAGCTTTGAATGAACCTCGGCATGTTATTGTTCTAATTTTCTTCTATTAAACACAACACGAGGTTGGCATAAGATTTTTATGATACATAC